TTCCATTCCACAGGACTGTTGTGAGGATTAAATGACTAAATAAAAGTAAAGTGTTTAGATTAATGCCCTGGAAGGAATATATTAATTTTTAGCTATCATTACTATTACCTCTACTACTATTATTATTGCTACAATAACTATTTTTACTACTGCTACTCTTACAATATTCCCTTATTCAAGCATCATTGCTAAGGTATTTTTCAATGTTACCTTTCTGGTATACTGCTTCTGCAGAAATTCACATTCTACGCTAAATAGAAAAGCATATTATAAGACTCTGATATCAGACTGCATAGGGTTAACTCCCAACATTTTCATTTATAACTGTATAACTCAGGTAATTTAAATGGTATTTTCTTGGTTTCTTTTTCTAAAAAAATTGAGATAACAACAGTAACAATTCTTCACATGGGGTATAAGGAGGTTTAAGTGAGTTACAAAGTACAGGTAAGAGCTCAGGGCAATATCTGATGCACAACAAGTGTGATATATATTTGCTATTGTAAAATGATAAATTAATGTTTACATGCCAGGTGCTATAAGCACTGGATAAACATTTTTAAATTTGTTCCTTACAAAATCTCTACCATACAGAAGGCAGGGGACAAACTTACAAAAGTAAATATCTTGCCCAGAGTCATAAGGTGCTATCATGTGGCACAACTGGAATGGAAACCCAAATATTTCTAGTTACCAAGTCTTTAAAATGACAAGGTGAAATACAACACAAAGAAGCTCCCTAAAATGGACATCTCATTCAGCCACTCTGAAGTCAATAAAAATGTTTACCTAATATTATAGAAATAACTCTTTTAACTACACCCAGAGCTGAAAAATGCTTATAGACAAAAACAGGTTAGCTACAATTCTAAAATTAAAAATAACCAAAGGGAAATAGAGAATATTACATAGTACAACTTAACAGAATATTATGTAACTAAATATTATGATGTAATAGGGGAAGTTTAATTAGATCATTAATATTCAGAAAGGTTTTAAGTAGTTAAGAATATATACCTATATAAACATGCACATATGGAATAAGATACATAGAACTCTCAAAGATTAGGACAGTGACAGTGAAAATATATATATATATATTTTTTTTTTTAAATCAAAAGGGAGTAATAATAAAGGCCCAGAGAGAAAAGACACTAAGAAACAGAAAAATTCAAGCCAGGTAGGAATCTATAAGGAAATTTGTAGAGGATCACAAATACAAAGAAAGTAAGATACACAGAAATCCAACAAAAGAGAGGTACAGAGACCCAGAAAAAGACTGATGGAGAACCACAGAATATAAATAACCAAGAGAGAAGAGAGCAGAAACTAGAGGCAGTGTTACAGAGGGAAAGGAAATTGGAAAGAAGTGGGTAACAAAGACCAAGAGAAAGAGACAAAACCCACAGACAGAAAAAAAGGAATCCAAAAAGGGAGACAGAGACTCAATAGAGAGCAGTGGAGAAAGACTGAAAGAAAATGACAAAAAGGGAAAGAGTAAAAGATGGTACGATTTCTAAAATTTCCATACACCTTTGAACTCATCTAACCTAGAACCTACCAGAACCTTTCATTTCTATAATCCTGAAACAATGAATTCTTGTTCCTTTTGATCTTTGCAATAACCTCAACTCATCCCCCTAATGCCTCCTCGTGGCTTCATTTAGGCTCATATTCTTATCACTGATCTCCTTCCCAAAGCTTTCCCTTATGCTCTCTGAAATCCAAAAAAGAAACTGCCAGATAATCTCATTTTCTTCATGAAGGGTTCTTTTTACTGTCTTCCCCTAGACAAAAATCTGAATCTCACCCAAGGGTACTGGTTTCCTTATATCATTCTCAAATGAAGTTTGTTCTTACCCCTCAAAAAATTCTAGGAACAGAAGGAAATACTGTCAAACTGTTGACCTTTTATTGTCCTGATCTTAAACAACATCCAGGCTTCTTCCTCCTCCAACTCCACACACCCTCTCTATCCAACCTTGTCAACGTTAACATAGAACACTGTAAGAAGTCATCCAAGTATGTACTTCCTGGACATCTCTATGTGCACGTCTCATGGGCCATCTCAAACTTAATTATTTCATTCTTCAAAACTTTCCTCATAAATACACAAAGGCAATGCTTATGCTAGAAAAAAAATATCTACCAAATATAGGACTACTACATTCAAAAATTAGTAATCTCTAGAGACTTGTAAGAAATTCAAAGACTTTTAGATCCCTCCCTAACAGCAGTGGAAACTCATTCCTGAGCTCTCAGAGCTCTCAACCCTAGAGCAGAACCTATCTTCTCCTATGTCTACAATTAGTTCACTAATATATTGAGTAATATGTTAGTTCTATTAGAACAATTCATAAGTGGAGATTATGAGTGACAAAAAGAAATGATCTTTTTGGTGACTTGGAAGATTATGGGAAGTCTTAAACCTGTGTATTTATTTCTACACATCTTCGGAAAACTTTTCTTTTTAAAATTATTCTTTTGACAAAGTTTAAGGGAAGAAAGAAAACAGATACAAAATGAAGGCTGAGATATCAAGCTTTACCCTGCTTTCAGATACCCACAGAGCATTTGCAGATCTAGGTAAAGAGTCACTGCTTTAGTGAAGGCAGCCTCTGTAAGTCTCTGTTACAGATTCTTATTATAAGGGACCTACATAATTTGAGTCTGTTAACAAACATAAAATGATTTGCGCTTTGGAAAAACACTTATTTAAAAAAAAAAGAAAACTTTTATCTTGTTTTGTTAAACAAAGATAATTGTTTTTTACACTATATCCCACCCTTCCTTTTTTTCTTTATTTTAGTGGAGCTATCCCAAACTAAGAGTTATCTGTTTTTCACTTTGGAAATTTTACAATGCTCAAGAAAAAGTTCTAAGATATGTAAAATATTTGAAAGTCTATTTTTTTTTTCCTAATAGAGGTTCACTGTCCTTGTTAACCTCTATTAATCACATTTCTATATCTGTAAGAATGTTTAAGATAAATAGGAAGCTGTAAGCAGTAGCAGGGAGAAAGTCTTTTTCTGAAGTACTCAGATAACAGCTGGTCAATTGTTACCATGAAGGCAGGATTAAGTCTGTGGTAAGGGCTGCCTATGATGGGGGTTTCCCACCTAACCAAAACCAGACGGGTAAGCCATCAGGTATCTTACATTTCAAAGTCTGATATTCTTCCCTTTCTACACTTGAATTTCATAAAAGTTGAATAAGCTAATATTTATAAAGCATTAAAACAGTATGTGGCATACAGGGAGGGCTATACAAATTAAAATAAGCAATCAAGAGAAAATGTTTAGGAACTTTGTAAGGAGGCCTTCGCAAATGAATTTATATGTAATCTAGTGGCTCACAAAAATAAATAACTCTGACCTTTCCTTTACTTCCTGGGGAATTATGATGTCTAGCATCTAATAACAAAAAGCCATGAGGATGCAAAATTTCATTTTAAGAGTGCTGGGAACATAATATATGCTTCATAATCTTATTTGGAAAGGTACAGAAAAACAAAGACTTGCCAAAATAGATAATATTAAAGAGAGTAATAGGCAGTAGGTGCATAAACCAAGTAATTGGGTTTAGAAATAAGAGAACTGAAAGTTATCTATGAGGTTTACAATTCACAATACAAACAGAGGCACAATTTAAACTTAAAAATGACTAAGGAACAAGTGTTGATAAAGGACATATTTACTAAGTATGGCTGGTCACACATATTAGCTATGACACACAAATATATACACAACACATAATAGATCCACCTTGCCTTAAAATACATAGGTCTTCTTCTATATCATTGGGTTTGTCATGGGAAAAGAAAAAGAATTTCCAAGAAAATCTAAGTACAGTTTAATGGAAAATGATTAATCTACAAACAGTTAAGTAAATTAATATTGGATTAGAAATCAAGAGACATTATGGATCTAAGAACATTACATATTATATGCATAAAATCTTTTTTTTTTTTTTTAATTTTTGATATTTAATTTTCAGGTTTTTTTTTGGCGGACACAACATCTTTGTTTTTTGTATGTGGTGCTGGGGATCAAACCCGGGCCGCACGCATGCCAGGCGAGCGCACTACCGCTTGAGCCACATCCCCAGCCCTATGCATAAAATCTTAAGTCCAAAATATCAAGTGAATTTATTCAAGTCATATTTATTTTGCCCCTCAAAACAACAACAACAACCACCAAAAAAAATCCCTGATTTCCATGTTCCTTGCCAGGTCCCCCATCCAAAACCAGTAAAGAAAAAAATTTAAGGAAATATTAAAACTGGGGAAAAGGACGGGCAGAAAGAAAAAGACCAAGGTACAACAGTAGAAACTGGTTTTCTTTGCTTTCTTCTCCACTGATTAAACTGTCATAAGTTATTACATCTTCTGAGGAAAAAGACCAATGGAGGACCAAGGAAGACGAACATTCACAGCTCAAAGTCTTAACTATCCTTTACTTTCACAAAACTAAGTGTGATCAGAAATAGTGACAATTTATAATAAGCTCTGTAATATAATACTATATCTTTTTTCTCTGATCAAAGACCAATTAAACTTGCTTTCTAATGTTTAACCCTCATTCTAGTCCTATCAGAGTCCTCCCACTTCCTCTCTTCACCTCTCATCAACTTCCACTTAGCAAAATGACATAATTTTCCTCCTTATAATAAACAGATGAAATGAGGATTCCATAAAAAACATAGAAGTATCAATAAAAAATATAAACTTTCTAGAACTAAAGATAGCTTTTTTTTTTTTTAAAAAAAGGAGAAAATTCTTAAAAAAATCATTCCCTTTATATTCTTATAAGCATTTTCCTGCTATAACTAATGATATTCAATGACCATTTCTTATGCTCAAAATCACTGGGGCCTATGCTTTGAATGCTTTCATTCAATTAGCAAAACTATTTTGTTAGGGTAAAGGTATGGGAAGTATTATTTTTAGAAGAATAACAAGTTTATCACAATATTCAATACATACTATCTGTCACACTTACCTTCTCACCACTTGAGTAGAAGAAATAACGCAATCGGACTATGTTACAGTGATCTAGCTTTCTCATGATCTGGAGTTCTCGATTCTGAAAAGAAAACACATGAAAATAATTTTTAAAGGACAACAATTATACATCATAATCACCAAGATGCTCCTGAAATAACATTAAACACCCTAAACAACAAGCTATGTATGTGCTATTAAAAAATACAGTCTGTACACCAGAACTGAACTGCAAACTATCTGTTACTAGTCCATGAACTATTTGTTTCTGCTCAGCAATAAGATACAGAATTGAGAGTGTTTAAAATCTTTTATAGCAATTTGGCAGACTAAATTTTTATCTATGATTCTGATAATAAGAATTGAGGCCTGTATTCTATATTTTTAAAACTTTTACTTTTCTAGCAATTCATTTGTACTATATTTTGCAAAACTATCAGTCTGGTGAATTGGAAATTATAGAAACTGGTACTTTACCACATGTACCTTGAGAAGCACCAGTTTAGGATTTGTAAGAAATATTTGAAATGAGCTGCTGTTACAATCTTACAATCCTATTGTTTTCTGAGTTACAGTGGAAAAAAAAAAAAACTAGGAGTTAACTCCATGAAAGGGGCTCAGGTGCTAAGTTTTTAAAAAAGACATACACAGTCCTGACAGATTTATAGACCACACAAACTTTCTTTGGGAAAGTTCAAAGTTATGCTCACATTGCCTGAAAATAAAATATTAAATAATGTGATTTCTTAATATCTTATTCTACTGTAATAAATTAAGTAGATTATTAACAAAGAATATACATTCCAACAATATTCTAATGGCTGTTAAAAATACCAAAATGCCAACTACATGGCCAGAAAAATAACACTTTTTTTTTTGTTGTTGTTATTATAGTAATTCAGAAAGTTTAAAAAAAGAGGTATATGCCTGGGAATCTGGAAAGGAAATAGAATTACTGTCACATAAGAGGTCAAGAAAGAGGAAGGTAAGGATGGTTAGGGACCAATAAGCCAAAAAAGCAGAACTACCTTCAGCAGACTGGGCTCTAGTCTTTAGAAGACAGGAGCAGAAATAAGTGAATATTTTTTAAATAACCTTGAGAACTGGGTTTATATATGTAGTAACATTTAAAATTCTTAAAACACATCAATCTGTCATTCCATTACTTGTGACAAAATGCATAATTGAAGCAATAAACATATAGTAAGGAGATATAGCTGTCCCTATGATTACAGGGAATATTCACAGATGGATGGGGGAGAGTGTACCAAACTTTGTAGATGCTCAAGTTGTTTGTATAAAATAGAACAATACTTGCATATAACCTACACACATTTTTTGTACACTTTAAATCATCTCTAGATTGCATGATACTTAATACAATATAAATGCTAAGTAAACATATGTTGTAGTGTAGTGTTTAGAGAACACAGACAAGAAAAACAATCTGTGTATGTTCACTATAAATTCTGCCAATATTTTCAATCTGCAGTTGGTTGAATCCATGTATGTATAACCCACAGATGCATAGTATCAAACTGGATAGAAATAGCAAATAAGCATACAAAAAGATGCTCAATATCATTTTCCATCAGGAAATTCCAAGTTAGAATAATGAGATTGTACTACACACCTATTAAAATGTTGTTAATGTCCAAAAATATAAAGGCTAATGAAAATATGGAGCAACATAAATACTCTTCATTGCTAATGGGAATAAGAATTTGCACAGCTACTTTGGAAGACAATTTAACAGTTGCTTACATAAATACATATATTCTTACCATAAAATACAGCAATTATGCTACTTGGATATTTACCCAAATGTGATAAAAACTTAGGTCCACAACAAAAACTTGCACAGAAATCTTTTAAAAAGCTTCATTGATGATTACAAACATTTAGAAGTAACTTATATGATCTTCAAGAAGTAAACAGATAAATAAACTATGATATATCCAAATAATGAAATATTACTCAACACTAAAAAAATGGGCTATCATTCCATGAAAAGTTATACAGGTACATTAAATGCATATTGCTAAGCAATAAAAGTCAATTTGAAGAATCTGAAAAGTATATACAGTATGATTCTAACAATGACCATCTATAAAAGTCAAACTGTAGCAGTAAAAAGATCAATGATAATTAGGGATTTTGAGGGAAGGCAAGATGAATAGGTAGAGCTCAGGAGATTTTCAGTTCATTGAAACTATTTTGTATACTACTGTAACAGTAGATAAATGTCATGATGCATTTACCAAAAAAATATAAATACATAAATAAACCATAGACTGTACCCTGCAAAGTAAATAATTGTGCAAACTCTAGACTTCAATTAGAACTATGTCAATATTGTTTTAGTGAATGTTAAAAATGTACTATACTAAGGAAAGACAATAATAATAAGGGAAGCAAGGTCAACAGTAAATGTAGCTTTTGTGAATTTTCTGTACTTTCGACTCATTTTTCTGTCAAACTAAAACTTCCCCCAAAAAAGCCCAAGAATATTTTAATTTGAAAATAAAAAATTTTAATAGGCAATGGGTTTTAATAGACATTAATCCCAAGAAGGAGTACAAATGGCTAATAAACACATTTAAAAATGTTCAACATAATTAGCATCAGAAAAAGCAAATCAAGATGACAATGAGACATCCCTTTCACATCCACTAAGACAGGTTTAAACAAAAAGTAGATAATAATCATCCAACAACAACTAAAAAATAAATATTTTAAAAAGGATAATAATAAGTGTTTCCAAGGCTAGGGTTGTGGCTCAGTGGCAAAGCGCTTGCCTAGCATGTGTGAGGCACTTGGTTCCGATTCTCAGCACCACATATAAATAAATTAATAAACAAAATAAAGGTCCATTGACAATTTAAGAAAATAGTTTTTAAAAAATAAGTGTTTCCAAAGATATAGAGAAAGTGCAGTGATCATACCCTGCTATGGAATTGTAAAACAGTACAGCTTTGGAAAAGAGATAAAAATTTCAAGATGTCAATCACAGAATCACCATAGGACCCAGAAATTCTACCCCTAGGAATAAACCCAGGACAAATGAAAACAACTGTCCCTACAAAAATCTGTACACAAGTATTCATAGCATCATCTTTATAAAAGCCCCAAAACGTAAACATTCCTAATATTCAGTAGCTGATAAAGAGATAAACAAAACATACCATATCCATGAATTGGAATATTATTCAACCAGGAATAAGAATGACATACTGAGACATGATAAAATAGGTATTAACCTAAAAAAAATTACTGTAAGACATAGAAACCAAACATGAAAAATAACATATTGTATGATTTCCTTCATATGAAAAGTCCAGAATGGGCAAGTCCATACATACCAACAAATATAAAGTGAATTTGTGATTTCCAGAGCATAGTGGGAAAAAAAGGATGGGTACTGATGAAAAAAAGGATGGATATAGGGTTTCTTTTTGAGGTGAGGAAACTATTCTGGAATTCCACAGTTTTACAACTCTGTAACTCAAACCAATTAATTATAAACGTTAAAAAGGTAATTTTACAGTATATGAATTGTATCTGAGTAAAACTGTTATAAAAAAAATATCAAGGCAGCTGACCACCAACAACAAATACAAAGTTTTAGTGAATCTAATAAAAAAGCAACCTTTGGGAGGGAGGCAGGGAGGCAAAGGAGAAACAACAGTGAATGATACTGGCCAACTGTTTTAGCCAGCTTTTTCTCTGATATGAGCAGACCAGAACAATTATATAAAAAATTCTATAAAAGAACCGATCAGAACAATTATAGAGGAGGAAAAGTTTATTTGGAGGCTCCAGGTTTCAGAGGTCTTGGTCCATAGACATCCTGCTCCATCCTTGAGGCTCAAGGTGAGGCGGAACATCAAAGCAACAGAATGTGGTACCAGGAAGCGGCTCACATGAGGATCAGAAGGGAGGGAGGGAGAGAGAGACACTGACTGACTCACTTGCTAGGTACAAAATACATACCCCAAAGGGAGTCCCCAATGACCTACCTCCTCTAACCACACTCTATCAGCCTTCAGTTTCCACTCAGTTAATCCCCTCATAATTCAACCATTTCTCCTCTAATCCTTCTTGCATTGTCTTACACACAAGCTTTTGGGGGACACCTAATATCTAGACACCTAATACTCATCTCACAATGGAAAATACATTTAATCCATTTCCAAGAGTCACCACAGTCTCAATATATCCAAGACTGCCCAAAAGTTCAAGTCCAATGTTTCTCTGAGACTCAAGGCAATCTTGCAGTGTGAACTCCTGGAAAAATCAAAAGCAATTTACAAGTGTTCAATATATAAAGGTCTACAGTAAACATAGGGCATAGAAAGAAGGGATGGGACCAAAGCAAAAATGAAATCCAGCTAGGCAAACAAGTCCTGTAAGTTTTGTGTCCAGTGTCTGGAGCACATGGCGTTGTGATGTTTTCTCCAAATGACATGTGTATTTCCTCCCCTGTGGTCTTGCTGGTTGTAGCTCAAATGCCCTTTCTGTTGGTTTGTCTCTGCTCAATTTCTGAAACTTTCCTAGGACAATGTCCCATATTACTGTCATTTCTTGATTTTTGGGATCTCTACTGCAGCTTGGGCTTCCTCCTCACATCTCCAGGCTTTGTCCTCTCAGGGCCTGTCCACAGGACTCTGACCCTGGGGAACATTTCCTAGTCTCCCAGGCCTTCCTTTGAAATCTTGGTGAAGGCCTCATGACCCCCTAACTCCAGCATCCTTCAATTCTGCACAACCAGAACCACACGGTTGATGCCAAGATCTGCTTGAGCAGTAGCCAAGTCTTGAGGGATCCTGGCTGCAGGAGCCTTTGCGTGCCTAGCTGGCTGAACACATTGAAAAAACTTCCTAGGCCCCCTTGTGTAAGGGTGCCCCAGTGGTCTCAAATTTTTAGTTTTACTACCTTGTGCCTGCGAAGAGTATAGTTTTGCCAGTTCGTGAGATGTCCTCAAGCCATCTTTCTTATTGTCTCTGGGTAAGGTCTTTAGCATTTCTTTAGTGGTAGTATTGTCTTTAACAATTGCAACTTCCTTTACCCAAGTTTTACTCC